GCGTGCTCCGACGAGTCCGGCTCCCGGGCTCCTCTGCTGGCGCGGGCCGGCCTGACCTGCCCTCCCGCCGCGACCTTCGGAAACCTGGCGCTCGGGTTAGATCACGTTGCTTTTACGAGGCAGGCTGTTTTCCACGTAGTTAGCCTTAAAGTCTGAATAAAGCTGAATACACTTGCAGCGCGCTCTTAAAACACGCTAGTACTGATGTGGCGTCTTTTCCCGCCCTGGGCTACGTGCAGAACGGCGGTGCTGCCGCGCAGCCCGGTCCTCGGGCGGAAGAGCTTCCCGGAGTTGAGCGGAGTCTCTTCTTTGGCCGGAGGCAGGCTGTTTTCCACGTAGTTAGCCTTAAAGTCTGAATAAAGCTGAATACACTTGCAGCGCGCTCTTAAAACACGCTAGTACTGATGTGGCGTCTTTTCCCGCCCTGGGCTACGTGCAGAACGGCGGTGCTGCCGCGCAGCCCGGTCCTCGGGCGGAAGAGCTTCCCGGAGTTGAGCGGAGTCTCTTCTTTGGCCGGTTTCAGCGCGTTGTGGCGTAGTCCCAGCCGTGGGGTGGGCCTGGTCTGTCCTGGGCGCAGAGCAGCGGGGAGAAGTGGAGGGTGACGACAAGTTACCTGCACCGCGGGGGGATGAGGCTGGCGCCAGCCATCTGCCGCGGGTTACGGATGTATCCAGACAGCTGCAGCTTGTCACCCGGCCTTCGGGTGTACTTGTTTAAGCCTTCAGTTATTAAGGGCAAAGAGCCAAGTTTTCACGAGTTCTCTCTTCTGACGTTTAAACGCCTAGGACTGGAGGTGAGCAGAGATTTGCAGGTGCGTTAGCCTCTTCTGGATGCACTAGGCCATCAGACCTCATCCCTGAGTGACTCAACAGCTAACTTAAAGTGAGGTTTATCCAAAGCCTCAATTCTCCACCTGTAAAAGTGAGGAAGGAGAAAGCACCTCTTCCCTTGGCCGGCTTCTGGCTGTTACACGTGTCCTCCTTCGCGATTTGAGTTCCCTGCTTTTAATTTCCAGCCAGATGGGAGCTTTGTGGCAGCCAGCGCTCAGGGCATCTCTCAGTCTGCTGAATTAAACCAGTTGGAGTCAGGCACCTTCCATGCGTCTTCTGCAGTTTCGGAGCCGACTTCAGCGCTGCTGTTGCCGACGCGTGGCACTTGGGCGCCTGAGTCAGTCGGGCACCTTTGAATTTTATCCTTCCTGCGCTTGAAACGAGAGGCAGAGTTCAAGCGCGAGGCAGCCAAGGGCAGGTGTCTAAATATAACGTGGCATTTGCGGGGGAGGAGATGGGGACTTAGGCCCTTTACAAATAACCTCTGTTCTTCCTTGGTGTCTACCCCTGCTGAATTGCGCGTTCGTGGCGGGGAGCGCCGCACGGTTTTGTTACCCAGAGGCTAACTGAAACCTCGTTTTCTTTCCTCTTTCCCAGGTATTAAATTCCTGCCGCTGTAGCCAGCAGAAGCGTAAGGAACAAGAATCCAAGTCTTTTCTCAACTACTGTACAGGACGAAACAGCGCAAGCTTCCTAATTTAGAGCTGGACTTGCTCACGTAGTAGACAGTGTGTTAGGTTATTTATTTATTAAACTAGAATACTGTACACGCGGCCTCTGCCACTGGTGTTTGTACTGCCACGGGACTGGGAAACGGTTGATTTATTTCTGCTTTTCTTTTTCTTTTTTTTTCATTTTCTCTTTTGGTTGTTCGTTTGCAGGGGCTGGGAGGATGGGGAGCAAGTGATGTGGGGAAAGGAAGAAGCTGGTTGGATTAATTTGCTGCAAAGTATTTGTCGGCTTCAAGTAATCCGGTGTCGCTGCTGGTCCCGACGACGCGCACGGGCGGAGGGGGGATGCAGGAGGCGAGACTCGAGATCCGATGCCCAGGTCGCACGTTACTTTTGCTTTCCTTTGTATCTGACCGTTTCTTCCATTGGAGCAGGAGCCGCGGCAGTCACGACAACTGCAGTCGGTTTGCAGGGCAGGAGGGCCTCTGCGCTTTGATATTTTCGTGCCA